CCCCAAAACCCCAAAACCCCAAAACCCCATGTGATATACTTTTAGATAATAAAGTAGTTGAAATTATTTTTTGTGAAAATATAATTTTAATGGAAAACCAGAATAATACTACTTTATTAAGCGCTAGAAAAGCATCTAAAAGAGTATTTCGTAAAAGTACTAATAACAGTTCAATGAGAAAAATTAAAATTGGTTCTTCCAAATTGGATTAATCTGAGCAGAAGCCCAAAGGAAACAAAGCCATTGTGTTTTAAGTAGGATTACCACCATTGATTAAACCTGATCCAGAATCTGAAGAAGCTAAAGCGCTGTGATAAAGAGAGGAAAGGAATTTTTAAGCTTAACTAAGAATTCATAATCATACTATGAGTGCTGATTAGTGTTTTTAGAACTCTAACAAGCCTTTATAGGGTAGTATTGAAAGCAGACCTGATAAGTCATCCACTAATAGTGACAAGATTAACTTATATTAAAAAAGCAGTTTGATGAGTACATTCAACAATCCTAAGTAAAAAAACAATTCAATGCAATTCAGGAATACAGCTACTCACAAATTTAGAAATATGATCAGTGATTTAAACGGAGCTAATGATTTAAAAGGCTCTATCGTCTCGGTTAAGAAACCAAAATTACAGTAAATGGATAGTCTAAAGTCAATAAATTTAACTTATAATCATCATTTACTCACCCCTAAACCACCTCTGCCAAATAGATTTAAGAAAAATCATTAAGAACTTTCTGATAAACAGATGTCCTTGAATAGATTCATAGAGGATACAAAGAACCATTTCAACATAGTAAACCAAAGTAGTGAAGATAGCATCGGTGATCCACAGATTGATATTCCTGAGAATATAAATCGATTAGATGAATCTCAACCATTTTAAGAGTATGATAATTGAAATTCATATGACTTTTTGCAGCCTCCTATTCAAACTTTGCAAGAAAAATCTAAAACAGATCAGATCAAATTATCACCAACTAAATAAGTAAGATTTACTGCATTTGACAAGCTAGCTGAGCGAAATCATAAATTAACTCCTTAGTTCACAGAGAAAAATAGCAGTATGATTGATTAAAAATCACCAAGCATGATTCCAATTATATCAATTAAAGAAAACTCAAGAGAAATTAGTCAAGCTTAGAACAAAATTATTATGCCTCATAAACCAAAGAAGCGTAAAAAGAGTAATAACTATAGCAAACCTACCAAGACCTTCTTAATGGTAAGAGTATTTAATGAGCTACAAAAGAATAGATCAGTAGATGAAATGAAGTTTAGAGAAAATTTAGTGACTAATCTTGAACACCATAAACCCTTATTAATCTCTAGAAAGCGTATCTTACATGAGTAAATCAGATCTAAAGAGAATTTAAAGCCTGTATAAACTCATATAAAATAGATAACCTAAATTAAAATAGAAAAGAAAGAATATAAATAGAGACTTTCTCTAAGATTAATAAGATCTAGGATGAATCTTGATGGAAGTGCGAGCAAGACTCAGTCTAGTTTAAATTAAAGCTTAGAATCTTTGAAGCCTATTAATTCATCTTCACAAACACCTTAAAGGGATTAAGTATAATAAGTATCAAAGATAGTGTCACTCCATCTGAATGAAAAAATTTAGTCCTTTCTTAAGTAATAAAAGGAATAGAAATCCCAAAATCTACACAACTAGACTATAAATAGTAATAAATAATCACTTAGAGAGAGTGAAAAGATTGAGGACCCCTTTCATTTCTACAAGCAAAGGAAGGAAAATGACCTAGAAATAGGCCATAAAGTAGTTCTTTATGCAAGACCTATCAAACTAAGAACTAAATTCAAAGCTTCAACTGCCCTTAAATTCAGGTAAATATTCTCCAATTCATGAATAATGAAATTTGAAACACTTATATGCTGATAAATTCATACTAAACTTGATTTCATAATTTCTGAAATTTAAGTTTAAATCAGTGAAGGGGTTTTGGGGTTTTGGGG